GACGTCTAATGCTGCAATAAGCCTAATATCTCTGCAATGTGTTTTGTTTTCATAATAAAAACTAATTTAACAAATGAAACCTAATGTCTCTGCAATTCATATTTTTTTAATAATCAAGAAAATTCCACAAATCAGTATTAAAACCTAAGATTTGGTCTTTAAAATGAATTTTGTTTTAATAATTAAAAAAATTCAAATATATATTAAAGCCTAATGTTTCTACGATGTGTTTTATGAGCCGCCCAGAGGATATAATGGCTAGGGAAGCCTACTTCTGTACCGAAAGGCCCAAATTCGAATCCCAGAGAAGGCATGGATGTTTGTAAATATATGACGTCTTTGCGGCATGGGAGCAATCTAAATATATGGCGAGCCGAAGGTCCTCTCGAGAGGTTGGTAGACCCACGGACCTCAAGAGAGGATGGCTGACCCGCAGACCCATGCCCCCGGGGTGCTCTCGATCAAAATTGGGTGCGTAACTGATCGAAGTCGTACTGTCACCTGCATTGTGCTCAAGGTTCTTGCAAACGTCAATCTTGCTCTCCTTGCCACGATGAATTTCGTGGGCTTGTTCTGATATTACTGTCAGACAAGTGAGATAAGTCACAACAACAACATGTTTTTTTTTAATAATTAAAAGTAATTCAACAAATCGATATCAAATATTTTAATACAGCCGAATCTGGATTTAGCGATTTTTGTTTTAAAGTACTGAATGGTTTCATTAAATGAGCCTATGATTTATAATTACATAAGAATTCGTTTAATAGCATCTAACTTATATATTTAGAACGTCTCTTTATAATTTTCGACATCTAATATTTTTCTCCTTTTCTTTCGTTTCCTTTTATTTTCTGTACCGAACATTACAAACAAACTCTCTACAAACTTATGATATTTTAAAAAATCTCTGAAATTTCAGATTTTATTTCTGACATATGCTATTTTCTCCCATTCTGCTCTTCGCTTAATGCTCTCTTAAAGTTTTAAAAGAACGGTGTGAAATGAGAATTAAACTCTGTCAATCCTAGATACCTCCAAACATTACACGGAGACTTTTATATATTTTCGGTTAAAATCTACGTATATCATTAAATCGTGTTTCAAAATCTTTTACTTAAATAATTTTCTTTTATATATAAAAAATAACTTCACAGCAAACCTGATTTCCTAAAAGTTTTGTTGGGTAGTAATAGAGCGATTGTTTCCAGCAGCATTTAGAAGTATGTTTTTTTCACTCACGCTGTAAAACTCACGTGCCAGAAATATACCATAAATTAAATTGCAGTGTATCTGAATAACAGCCTTATTATTTGAAGAAAAGGTAGTCATTTTATTCAGTTAAACAATGGTGTTTTAGTTATTGCTGACCTTGTGCTGAATTCTTTTATTTCTGAAATATATTCAAAGTATAGTGACACAATTAATCGGCTAAAACTTATTCACTAGCACTTAAGTAAAAAAACCTTGCATCATACAAAATATCAATTTTAATAGTAAAGTTACGCCCTACTTGCACTTAATCTGAACACTAGGTTACTCTTCCTAGACTAGCAGGCGAATTCTCGTCCCGTCTTTGAGTAGCACAAGGTGATCACCGCAAACCGCTAAAATATTTATTTCTAATTGGCTTGAAATGAGTTTTTAAATGAGTTGTTTTTCCATGGAATACTTGTTTTTAGAAATAATGTCCTGAAGAACCACTGAATTCTCACTTTCGATTTCTTTTAGGATAAGTCAAGTTCCAAACTTTTTCTACACAATAGTAAAAGATTCAACAGTAGGATGAAAGATTAACCATCCTATTTCTGCGATAAAGGTTTATTAACAACATGCAATCAAAAAGACTCGATCTAACCCAGAAACTAAACTAAAACATTTCGTTTTTCTTTCTTCTCCCTACCGTTCACTAAACAACATTTTAAAACTTCAAATTTTAACCACTTTGATTCAAATGTTTTGTTACTGTGTAAAAAAATATTAAATATATATTAAAACAAACACGCATTTTTTTTAATATCCATAAAAATTGTCAGGTTCATCAAAATAAAGAAAAATTGTAACTCAAATCCAACATTGTTCGGTGAAACCTTCGCATTCTCGAGCAGGGAAGAATCGCACAAATAGCCGTTTCTAGTATTTAAGGGATTTGGTTTGGTTTATTTAATTACGGCAAAGCACACTAGGGCTATCTGCCTAAGGGCAGGGATGCTTTCGTGGAGGACTTTCTAAGAAGAACTGGTTCGTATACACGTTACACATGGGGAAAATACGAAAACGCCAATGCAGCCAGCCCGTTCGCGGGATTCAAACCTCGGACCGAACTACCAGTGTTAAGCGACTTTACCGCTCGGCCGCTGGTGTGCCCTGTATTTAAGGGATGAGAAATGGGAACGTGTTATAGGATCTAAATAATTTTTTTCTTCATATGTTTCGTACCATGAACCATGCGATTACATCGAGTTTCCTCTAGCAAACGACACATTGTCTGGTGAGAGGAGGAACTGTGAAATTGAACTTTACAAATTCCTGCTCAGAATGTAATTTCTAGAATTTTTTTAAAATTTTTGTTCAACTTTTTGTTTTTTATTCTTTAATTTCATCAATTTTTATTTATTTTACTTTGCTGAAGCGGCCGCGGAATCCCTGTGAAGTGTAAGGCGGAGTTGTTAGGTCTCCAGGGAGTATAAATTGGGAATAGTTGACAACGCCGGGAGACGGAGACATTATCATTCTACCAAGACGTTAGGTGGTATTGTTTCGCGTCCCTGCATATAGCATTGCATATCACATAACATTGTAAGATATTGTTGCTGTTGTGGTTCAGGAGATACAGTTTGGGAACAGCTGAACTACTGCTTGTGGCCTGAGAATATAACAGTATCTCAGTTATTTACAAAGAAAATACTAAAGTGGAACCTAAGAACTGGCTCCGATGATATCGCGCCTTGTAACTAAGTACTATCAGCAAAAGTAAATTTTCAAAACAAGCATAATGTTACGGCGAATAGTACATGGTATTTTACAGCTCACCTTGCTGATGTCTTTCTACACATAAATTTTATATCGTTATTTAAACTCACTTAATTTGTATATCCTAGTGGGCTGGACAAAAAGGTAGAAATGCAGGAAAGATAAAACTTAGAAAATAACATGTTAATTAAAATAAACTGTACATAACGTCAAAAGGAGCACGCCAGAGACAGTTTTGAAATTCGTAAAACCAGCAATACTGTATGCTAGTTTCTATAGTTATTGTGGATGCCACTGATTTTTACTTCTGGATTATAAAAAAAAATACACTAGTCTATTTTCCTAAACGAAGAGATGCCTTCCTGGAGGGCTTCTTAAGAGGCTGTTTTTTATGTTACAAATGGAGAAAATACACAAAAACTTCTGCTCAGCAAGATGTTTTGCCTAGATTTGAAATCATGCTAAATGTCAAGGCAATAAAGTCTTGTACTTTATTGCCTTGACAGAATATATTTTCGACAAACTACAGCATTTAAATTGTCCTCACATTCTTAGACGACCCTTAATTTTCATTATTTTCATAATTGGATTATGATTAAAGTTCATTACAAGGCCACCCAGATCATTAAGACATGTAGCGCAAAACCAAATACGCTACTGCATTGAATAAACTAGTAAATTTATGTTACAAATATTTTGCTGCTATCAACAGCGAGATAAAATGAACTCCTCTTAACACGTAGTTTGAGGCAAAATATCAGCTGGATGTCCTGACATAGGGGCAACAGCCATGAGAGCTCCAGTACAGCTCATTTTGAAGAAATGTACAAAACTGCTTCCTGAAACTTTTGCGCCTGGAAGACTAAAACTTTATGCAGCTCAGAAAACATAGAAGTTTATTTCATTAATGTTTGAGATGGACGCTCATTTAGAGCGTTCAAAGAAAACTACAGTATTCTATTCTAGCACTTGCTCCACGTGCTTCTGTTTTGGATATTTCCTAAGGTTTGCCGAAAACAGTGCAAATAAGGCGAGTCCAGAACTATGAACTATAATTATGAAACTTGAAACTGTACCAGTTTAACCTTCCTAAGCTTCCGACGAATTCTTCTTTTCGCATTTAATAAGAAGTCTAAAATCTATCTATATATGTATACAATATATACCACTCCCCTTGCCTGTTTTAAAAGTCCTTACTCGGCCTTTATTTTTGCAATCGTTGGTTGTAGAAAAAAAAACGTATACTTTTAGCTATAAAAGTGTTTTAAATTCAAAAATATTCATGTTTTGGCAAATAAAAAAAATTAATTTATTAAAAAATGTTAAAAAGAACATTAATTTTGAACATTAATTAAGCTTTTAATACGCTCTCTTGGTTTGTATACTTATAACTGCAGAAGTTGTGAAAGTTTTATACGTTATGAAAAAATAAAAATACAAGAAGTTTGACTCCCATACGACAAAAATTGACTGGGCTATTTAATTTCAAAATTTGCAATTTTTTATGTCATTTTCAATTTGCCTTGAAGGATCTGCTAATTATGTTAGAATAATTCAGGAAAGTAAGTTTAAAGAAAGTGCAGTAAAAAATGTGTATAACTTAGTAGTCGCACAAAAAGTCATTTTTACATATGATGTCTCCATATCAGATTTTTTTAATTTTTATTATAAAATAGGATATTTCTGCGATATAAAGCTGCTTTGATTTTTATTCTTTAAATTTCGAAATTTCATTCTTTTAATTTCGAAATATTGTTCTTGCTCTTTTTCTTTTAACATTATGTATCTACATGACGATGACAACCTTGCAAAGTTTCGCTATTGTTTTTCCCCCACGATATATTGTGTTGAGATTTTTCAACCTGCCGTAAATTCCCTGAAATGTTTTTGTTCGGGATATCGTCAATAACCAAACAAAGGTTTAAATTACTGGCAAAATTGTCCATAAAATTGCTTTAAAAGAACTATGAGTATGTTAAAATATTGTTTATACCTCGTATAAAACAAATTCTACATTTCATTTCTAGCTAAAGGAAAGAAAGGCTTGGTGGACATCATCTCAGCTGGTACAAGAGAAATATGGAACAAAAAGGTCCCAGGTACACAGATGGAGAAACTCCAGAAAACTATTGAAGATAAATATGGTGTGAAATTTGGTGAGTTGTTTTCTAAATTTACTTGTAAGAATAAATATTCTTAACTGAATTAGCTGAGAAATTTGACGCAATGATTAATACTTTCATTACTGTTTCTTAAAACACTTCTAAACACAAACTGTAAAAGAAATATTTCTAAAATGTTAACATTTCATTTAACGTTCTAATACATCAATAGTATATATGTATTTATGATCGTACATTGCGACTATAAAGGGTACTATTTCTTTGTAATCATTTTTTAATATCGCAGCTGCTAACTATCCAACGAATAGTTAATAATTGGAACATTGCAGTTATAGCTTACGTTAGGTTAGGTTATTTAATTACGGCAAAGCCTCGAGGGCTATCTGCCTAAGGGGAGGGATGCCTTCGTAGAGGACTTTCTAAGGGAAACTGGTTCGTATACACGTTACACATGACGAAAACCACGAAAACACCCATGCAGCCAGCCCGTTCGCGGGATTCGAACCTTGGACCGAACTACCAGTGTTCAGCGACTTTACCACTCGGCCGCTGGTGGGCTGCAGTTATAGCTATAAACTGTTTAGAGTTATTATTTAAGTCATATTTAGTAACCACATCACTAGTAGTTGGATCATCATGGCTTAGAAACTAGATCACCGTAGTTAACAGCTAGATCATGATAGTAACTGAATCTTCTCTTAATTAATAACTTTATATTAGTAACTTGAAAGTTAGTAACTTGATAGTTAGTAACTTGAAACATCATCTAAACCAAAAAACAGTACTTATTTAAATTCTCTTGATTCTGCTGAAACTCCCAGCCTAACTATCATTCTCAAAAAGAAAGTTCTGAAGGTTCCGCTGCAATATAATAAACAATATCCTAAATTTTTATTATAATGCGCTAATAGATATTTTTACAATACAATATAACTTCCTTAAATTATAATGCAGTAGAACTTCAGTTATCCAGGTTCCAAATATCTGGAATTCCAATTATCCAAACCGCTTGCTATGCTTTTTAAGACCGCTTAAAATTAAATTTGCTAATTTTTCATGTATTGTTATTTGTTTATTTATATCTTGATTTAACTACATAAATAAATAATACAGTACATTGCGGATTTAAATGCATAAAAGAAATAATACATTACTGTGCAATTTTTAAAAAGCTATTCAAGCAAATTTTATTAATTTGTACGTTACTGTAGACACGTTTTAATGTTATAAAATAATCAAACCCATGCTTTAATATTTCCTTTTTATAATCTATCAACTATTGTTGCTGTGCTCATCAAAGAGGGGAGCAAAAACAGAGATTCGTCAAACATAAATGTTCATATAAAGTCTCATAAAAATTGCTCATAAAATTAAATCAAAATTTTAATTAATATTTTAAAGAAAAAAATGTGTAAATATACTGTAAAGCATAATTTTGTTTAACAATATATCCAAAAATAATCCCTTAAGTTATTCAAAACAGTTGCTATCCAACGGTTGCTCCGCTGTACTTAGTTTGAGTAAAAACAGTTCTACTGTATTGTATTTCTATTTTAAACATTTTCCTCAGCCCCGTGAGTGTCTATATACAATGTATTAGATCATATCCAGTTTTTACATATTCGAACTGCCTTATCAGTTTTACTGTACTGAAAAATATTTTCTTAATGTAATTCGGCAGATCCTATGGCACACCATAATTTATTACATGAATCTGAACAGAAAATTTTAGAAAGAAGGTAATAATATATCAGTAAAGATTGCTTTTAGAACGGTAACAGAATTAGAACGAAACACAAATGTAGACGAACAAGGCTGTCTGGTATTTTTATAGGGTTCAGTAGAGATCTGCATTTGAAAAACATTAATGTTCAACTCCTCTAGCGATAGTTTTATTCTAAAATTCTGACTGATATTCATTTAACGCATAAAACGCGGAAAAAATTACGCGTTTTCAAAAGAGTTTTACATTTATTGCATAATCAGATCACCGTTCTGTACAGTGATTTAAAGTTTATAATTTCAGCTCTATAATATTTCTTGTATTGAGGTAATCACTTCTTCAACTTAATAAAGAAAAAAAGCGATTTTGACCTTTTTTAATTCCAGTTGAATGCAAAAGGCGTCATAAACTGATAAATGTAAAGCTTAAAACATGTGACTCTATCAAAAAAAAATCCAAATCGAATCCTACCATAAGTTTTAGTGTATGGGGGCAAGGATTTCATTTAACTAGTGAACTATCTTTAAACTGAAACTTGCTCTTACCTTGGGTACCTTACTTAAATTGAAATATAAATTGTTTTATTTCTAATGCGAAATACTTATTAACGCGTATTCATAAAATGCAACTTAAATTAGAATAACTAAGATCCTGACACTAAGTACCAAACTTAATTGAAATACAATCCAGCAGAGAACTTTTAGTTTGTATTTCAGCTGAGTTTGTTTCTTAGAGTTAGGATCTTAATTATTCCCATTTAATGTACATTTTATATATATGTGTAAAATATAAATTAAATTGGAATAATTAAAGACTTTCTTTTTTTCTTTCCTGTCATGCAAACTTTTCTTCCTCGTGTCTTATATTTAACTAAAAAAAGTTGCGCGAATATTCCAAAAACCTTGATTGCGATGCTGTTCCAAATGTTAATCAAACCACCAAAATTAGTCGACATCTTAATGATAAATTTAATTCAAACCGTATTTCACTTTAAAGGTTTATCCTTGCATACTGTATCACCTTTTTGGACTCGTATGATTGAAAATCGAAAGTTTTAAAATAATAATAAAAATTGCCCTATTGTTTAAAGAAATTTAGAAAAAATAAGAAATACATATGCAATTAATATTTATGAACTATTAATGAATTTTAAAATAATTCTTATTTTTCATTTTTGATGCGGAAAACAGTGTATAGGTAGAAGTATTAACAAATATCAATAGACTTCTATAGCGGAACCTTCATAGCTGAATATACATAATATATTCAGCTATGAAGGTTCATTAATTATATTAATAAGTGCTGATTAAATCAGTAAAAATCTAATTATCCACGCTAATGTGAGTAACCAGTTCAGGATTTCACAGAAACCCATAATTAATTATTCACATTACTTTTTCTTTCGTCTAGGCCAAATAAAATGAAGCTTTTTGTTAATTTACTTACTCACTTTAACATTTAAATTGTTCATTTAAACCATATAATATTCACTTGCTTTAGATTTTTACTTAAATCATATAATACTTACTTGCACTAAGTTCTATAACATTCATGTGTTTTATTTTTTTCGTTGAATTAAATCATAAAATACTCACTCATTTTAAGGTTTTGCTGATTTAAATCAGATAATGCTCACTCGTTTTAATTCTTTTTGTTGATTTATCTCATATAATGCTCACACGCTTTTTAATTTCTTTCGTTGATTTAAATCTCATAACAGCAATTTTATATTTTCTTTGGTTTCAGTCATGTATTAGATACTCGCTTTAATTTTTTGCCTTAACTTTAGTCATGTAAAATAAATAAGTATTTTTAGTATGTAGTTTGTAAAATTTAAATGCAGATCGACTTGCAATATTCCTTAATTATATAGCCAATAAACGTTAGTGAAAAAGCTGGGTTACGAATTATATATAGATCTACTCTTCTTTGTAACTCCTTACTTCTTTATATCAGTGTTTCTTTTTAATACAGACGAAAAACATTGCGATGTTATGTCAATTCCCTCTCAATATAAGAAACTTCTCTTTACGAATATCCAACGTAACTATATCTTGCTGCTTTGTAGTACACTTTGAAATACTCTGTGCTACATTCTCTGCTTGATTGTTTAATCTTGGAGATAACGTATAAAATTCAGACAATTCCTTTACCATGAACTGAAATCATTTGCCTTTGCTGGATATGGTGTTGAACAGTATGATCAATACGCTCAAAAAAGGTTTCATCAATAACCATCATCACCGCTATGGCATTTGCACTTCGAAATCCAAATCGCTTTATCTTTTAAAATCAACATGTTGAGACAAAATTTGCATTAGTTTAAAATCTTTTAAAAACTGATAAATTTTTCATTCAAGGAAAAACTATACATATTTATTCATTGTGCTTTTGGTCATACATGATAGTCTATGTTCCAAATGCAAATAGCACATTTTCTGTAAAAGAATTTCTATTAAGGCGCCGGAATGTTGAGGTTTTAAATCAATAAGAAGAATAATGGGCTAAATCATCAGCTTTCTTCCCAAAATTTCCGCCATGGTCACGTAGATCTTGCAAAGATTTAATTATTTCCTAAATTACTATGACAAGCTTCTGCAAGACATTAATTTTCTATAATAAGTACAACTAGGAAATACTTTTATTTCTACCCTTTGTTAAACGTTATCTTACCATTTAGAAGGAAAAAATGAAATTAAAAATTCTTGGATTGAGAGATTAGGCAATACCTGTATTTTTGCATTAAATGCTTTTGTTGAACAATGAAATAATGTCAAAAGATTATTCCACGAAATATTTTTCTCAGTATTTCTTAAATTCTTTAAATAATTTTCGAAAAACAAAGAATAGAAGATTTGAAGGTTTTCAAGAACTGCCGCACGTTATTAGAGACACAAACAACGCAAACAAAAACACAACCTCAAAATAAGGTCACAGTAGTACACTCATTCAGTAAATAACCTTTTTTTAATGTATTGAGTATAAATAAACAAACCTCGAGGGTTAAGAAAGATTTGCAAACGCAACAAATGTTACCTGCCAAAGAAATGAAAGAGAACATCTCTAACAAAATGCTCCGTGCACAATTTTTTAAGTCACGGCTTTATTGTAATTTATAGTTTTATGCCTTAGCTGCAAACATATGACGTTAAATCAAAGATATCCACAATGCAGTTTCCGTCCAAGATCTGTGTCATGTTTCTTATCATATAGTTTTACCATATTCTAAAAATGCAATAAAATGCTTGATGTAGCATTTGTTAAATACTGGGATTCTCGTAAGAATAATGGGAAGTAAGTATCAAGGAAA